GCGACAACTTCCTCATGTGACGCCAAAGGATCACAGATTATTTCTGCAGTTTCTTGACATTACGATGTGAGACGGCTGTTTCATTCTCCTAATCCTTAATAAAATTACTAGCAAAGAATATCAGGAGATGGCTGTCTGCTGGGTTGTAGCGCCATGTAGTCAGAAGTTGACCACAGCCCTGATGATGGAGGCAGTAAGCACATCCGAAACGTCGGTGAACTTCTACTAGACTACACATGGTTCAATCCCGGCCGAGGTCGATGGATTTTTAAGGGTGATAAAAATCCGTAGCACGATTTGCTTAGGAGGGGAATTAAAGCCGGCGTTCCCATGTCGTAGATTTACGACTTGTAAAAAAAACTTTACGAGCATGATACGAGATGTTTCGTAAGAGAAATTCAGCGGCCATTTCTCACCCAAGTCTCTCCTGATTAACTGCTAGATGGCTCTGGTATTCAAATCGGGATCGAGTAAAAATTGTGCAGAGTCAGTGGGCTAGTCACTCACTATTCATAAATGCACACTTCAAGACCAAAGGAGGAAGCTAAAACCTGTTCATTTACGTGAAACTCCATTCTTAGATGTTACGTACGGCAGGACTTGGTTATCAAATTACACAGAATTTGGGGCCCCAACTGTCTCAATTTTAAATTTTGAGTGTATTTTAAGTTCCTGTTAATGTATTGCTGTTTCACATATCAATGAAATAACACACTCATATGTTCTTGTGGAAAATCAGAGGAATGGCTCAGGCTTGTGCTTAAATTAGTAAATGAACGCGGTCATGGTGTTCCCCCACACACATGACGCCTATAAAAAAATCTGTTCCTCGCCTCGTTTGACTCGCCTGCTGTAGACCTGCATGTCTCAACACGATAACAGACGATGAACTCAAAAGGAAGGAACACAAAACTAATTTCACTTTTACTCACATAACGAGTGACTAAGTGTGCCACTCCTTGAGCCCGCAGGCACTAAACCATCTCACAACACCAATACTTCGTTCTCAAGAACATTAACTTAAGGACAAAAGTGATACAAGTAACAGGCGACCTAGTTAGTTCATACCATGACCATACATTACAACATATGATTTTCCTCGCAAGGTTTTTCGAGAGTGATAAAGCTTTAAAAACTTAACGCCAAAGAAATTCAAGCACTCAGTAAATGAGACCACTACACACTCTTTACCAGTAAAGATCTGATAAAAATGTACGCCAGCATAATGTATGAAAATTGTATTTGAATTATTTATCGTTTTGAAGCTTTATATAATTATATACACCTGAGGATGGTTCTTTTAGGAACTGAAACATGTCGTGAAACATGAAAAATGATGGTCAAATGTAAATCGAATATTTCGATAAAGAACATCATTTGATATTTTAAATGTTAATTATTGTAATATTTAATAAGAATTTATTGTGATTAGACGGACAAGATTTAATATATACTTATTATATCACAATATGACGCAACTTTACCATCTTATAAATTTTATTTCTAACAACTAAAAATAAAACAATTTGGGATTACCCGTAGGATATAAAACTGCAAAAATCTAAACTTAAACTAATCAGGAATTAATCGTATTTATTGCGTGTCTCCATGTAATTACTGGATTTGTTTCAGAACGGTTTTCTTTCTTTAAGGACAATATTCTCCCTACGCACAAATGCCAGACGTGTATAGATCACAGATTATGAAGCAGCGTCCTTGAGAGAATTTATCTTTTTGTCCTTAACTTCTTTTCTCGTCACCTTTCGTGATTTTCCGAATTTTGTAAACACAGTAACCCTAAAAAAAACCCATCCACGCTCTAAACACGGAAAGAAACATCAACAACGACTTCGGACGTTTGTCTATTATTCTATCGTCATAAAAGTGTAGATCCATGAAAGAGCAGTTAGTAAGGCGAGTACCTACGAGCTAGACTGCCGTGGCCCTCCCCCGACAAATTTAGAGACGTAGCTCTCCGAGATCCACCCAGCCTCAGGAACTCCCTCACATCCATTTGCTGTCGACTCCCAAAATAAGTGAGGTTATAATGCTGGTATAATGCTGTTTATACTTAGGATAAAATACAAGTTCTCAGTGGTTTCATGATGAAGTTTTACACAGAAACGCATATGTATGACATTCACAGCACTGTCACACGATTTAGAGGTCTTTAAAACTGTTTTTTTTGTTCAAATTACTGCTGCTATGGCGTCCCCACGGAGGCCACTTCTGAAAGGAAAGTTGGCTCGTATCACTGGAAAGTGACATTGTCACGCTGCAGTGATACTTCGCTCTCTCTAACCTGAATCTTTCGTGTTCAAGGTCACTCGACAGACTTCGTTGCCTGTCTTTTAGTTCACTCCGATTAGGAGAATGCACATTTTACGAATGATACATTTAATCTATTTTGTTGAGGTAACCTAGAAAACGAATATATTTTTATTTATCTGTATATTTATGCTGTATCACTTTCTGTTCGTGTGCCACAGAAGTGAATGCCTCTAAGCTACGACCTATTTCGCGAAAGGCTAGTTTGCAATTAAGCGTTGATCACTTGAGCAAAGAGGCAATTTCGTATTATGTCAACATTCACAAGGCTGGATTGGATAAAATATTATAAAACACTACAGTGAAATGCCAGTCCGTGCGAATGGTACGAACAAAAGAGCCCTGCACAGTATTGAAGAAATTTCGCAGTCGGAATCATAAAAATGCAATGGGACACCAAACTTTTTAATTTTAAGTCATAAATTGTATTTAATAAACACTACTAATTTATATTAAGTGTTCTTACAGTATTTGTTTGTTATTACTTTGAAGAACTAGATGTCATATAAATATTTATGCCTCAGGAACCTTGTCTCGATGGTCAGGTTATGAAATGTCTGGTATTGCGGAAGGAAACAATTCGAATTATGAAATAAGCAGTATTGTTTCATCAGCAATGAATACACTACGATTTTCCCACAGCTAAGTTTAAAGACAATCACGAAAATCACCATAACATTCTGGCCTGAGACTTCGTCGTCGTGTCTTGTAGGCGTCGTAATCTGCAAGCCTATAATCGGCATCTTTTTCACTTTCTGAGAACAAAATGTCTTAGATTTTTACACGTCATCACGATGTTCAAAACACTGGCCTACTAAATAAATGTGGATGAAAACCGAATCTAGGTTTGAACGTAGAGCTTACTATAATTTGGGGTTAATTAGTGAAGGGATGTTAATGTAAAATGAATGTCGTGTACAGACGTTTTGAAAGTAACAGTAATTAGAGTACAAACATCCAGGAAATAGACCGCAAGCTATAAAACTAGTTTAATCATAAGAGTATGTAACTAATGTCTTCCTATTTGATTAGATTGAACATGTACTGTGCATGTAATTAGACGATTAAGCTCTACAATAGTAATAATGACAGCTTTAATCTATAATGTTTAGAAAGGAAAAGAAACGTGTAAGACTTATTTTGTGAACTTAACAAAATTTCTTTCTGGAAATATGTTGCATTTCTCAGTAACTTTAGTCTTCAAATGTTGCGACGGAAATCGAGCCAACAATCACTACAATTCTGAGAGAAGTGTACACAAATCTCTAAACACTGATGGCTTTGCAAAATTTCCTTCGGCAATTCTATTATATTTGTTAAACTTGAGCTCAGAAGTTCGCTTTAGCAAAACCTGCAGCTGTTATAAGACAGCTTAGACGAAGCTACAGGAACAGGTTGTAAGAGCTGTCGTCGTCTGACATTTTCAGAAGAAGTAGGTGAGTCGACTCAGCTTATATAAACTTAGAAACAAGACAGGCAACGTTCTAATTCGAAGGCGTCTTGTCCTAGGTTAGGTTAGGTTAGGTTAGTTTAGGTTAGGTTAGGTTAGTTTAGGTTAGGTTAGTGTACAACGTCATGAGCTAAAATTAAAGAACATTTGCTGTTAGATTACAACAGAAAAATGACGTGACAAGAAGAAAAATTGCATTATAATATGGAGACTGAACATCTCAAATATGGTCTTCGGTTCTTATAGTACTATCAACTCCATGTTGCAGAAACGAAACATTTTCATACATCACCTATTCGGGGAACAAAAGTCTGATGTCAAAAACGAGAGGACAAATAGATTTACTAAAACTATTCATGACGTGAAGTCACAAATGAGGTCGCATCATATCAAAATAGCATACTACACATGTTAATTCGTTGTTAGCCGTAGGAATTTGTTAATATAAGCGACTTTTCCAACTTGGTTCCGTCGTGTTACTGTATTGACACATATTTAGTGATTTGCATATTAGTCCAGTAATACGATACGAATTTCACATCATCTACTGTTAATGACCTTAAGCATAATGCATGTCATTATAACGAAAAGTAATCACCTACAGTTTGCATTACAGTCAATATCGAAACGTCGCTTAGTCTCACGATATCTATTTACAATGAACACAACATGCTTTAGCAAGGCAGTTTAATAGATTCGCTAAAACTTTGCTTACCAAGTGTCCACAGAAATCGAAAATGCAGAGATTTGTAACAACCGTCGTTAAATCTACAAAGGTCTGTTTCACAGTAATTTTCTTTACAAGTAACGTTTGTCGGAGTACAAACAATTCGCCTCTCATTACTCTCAAAATTAAAAACGTTCTTTCATTTTGAAAGTAACGCAAGGGAATCTCTTATGATATTACAGCCCGGCATCTATGGAATCAATAAAATCTTCTCGGGCAGTCATCCGCGTTAACTGGTTACCGTAGTAAACCGACGTTTCGGGAACCAACTTTGTCCCCATCATCAGGGACTTCCGGGGTATCCAGTCACATCAGAACCCTGATGATGGGGACAGATTTGGTTCCCGAAACGTCGGTTTACTACGGTAACCAGTTAACGCGGATGACTGCCCGAGAAGATTTTATTGATTGTACTCGCCGCGAAAGTCTCAAATCCTATATCTATTAAATTAATCAACACTACCTCTGGAAGGTTCTCGACAGTGCTTAGCTCACCTGTAGCCAGGATGGCGGTAATCGCCAACAAGCACGTGTTTCTCTTCATTGTCGTTATTTTAACACCACCGCGTCTCGTCTTGAAGGAATCCTCAGACCTGCTAGTTGATGACCATTCACAGAGAAACTACAAGACGTACTAAGCCAACTAGCAAAGCGCGCCCTTGGTTTTTCTGAAAGTTTCCCCGTCAGAAAGGGAAACTGTCATTGGTTGCCAGATGCGTTTTTACTCGCGATGCATTGCCATTGGGCCTGAGAAAGTGTGACGTCATTCTCAGATGCGGCGATGTTTCGTGATTCGCTCTTTCGTCTTCTGGCAGAAATTAGGACACGGAGGACGTTATGGCCACTGACTATTATAAATACAAATATGGATAATTTCATTGTAAGCTCACTTCAAGAAACAATTTTCACCAGCACAAAAGTGGACGTGGCAATAGAAATGTCTTCATAACTCATGTAAATTAGTGTGTTTGAAAAGAGAAATCAGTACAATAAAGTGGAATATCAGAAGGTGCAGACAGCCAATAGCCCGATGTTAACAACACCATTTTCTATCCGGTTAAGGACCAAACAGTGAGAAGCTGATAAAATCATCGGTTTATTCGGTTCTTAATTATTTAGATATATTTATTTAATTCCTCTTTTCAGCTCCATACGTTATATCAATATAGATATAAGTAGTAAAATAATTCGTGAACATGAAATATAAAGAACGTGGCCTATCTTAAGGCAGGCCCTATCGCCCGCCCATTTACCCAGAAGGAGTGAGAAAAATACACAAAACCTCGGTCAGGATAATCGATCACGAGTCACAATTTTGAATCAGGAACATGAAACAGAAGTATTTTCCACCTGTCACGACGTTCACAACGGCTCATTCAAAGATGCTGTGTCATTTCGTGAAGTAGCGACGAATGTGAACGGAACATGTCCTCAAGTCCTTTAAATTCCTACTGCAGAATTGGCCTGGAGAGTCTGAGAAAAACCATGAGAAATATCGATGATATAAGATCTGAGGTTCTGACGGCGGTGAATACGTCTTTTAGGGTGTAAGACCATGTGTACATATAGACCGCTATCAACGTTTTGATTAAACACATTGCCCCCATCTTCAAAACTCGAAGGCTTTAATGAATCCATAGGCTATTTAGGTCCAACGGTGTAATACCCCAGACGATCAGTACGAAATCCCAGCCTCGCTAGCCGATCCTGGCATTCGTACGAGAGATAAAAAAAACTATAAAAAAAATATTGCGATCCTGTACGCCTCACTTTTTAAATGATTATTTACTACGTACGAAAATTAACCCAATTACTGCAAAGAATTATAACTTTATTTCCTTTGGTATTTAATGATCGTCTGCTTTTTTTAAGTCTTGGAGGTGAATTTTTAAGGTAATATAATGAGGGAGATCGTTCAGATGAGCTTACTAGCTTAATGAATGACACACGTGGTCAATGGGGGTGTCTATTTAATTTCGTTAATTGGCGTTAATGCCCCAAACACTGTACAATCACTGGTATTATTTTTTTTATTTGTAGTGTTCTGTCTGACGACAGGTCCATATATCATGAACAGGATCCTTCCAACCTCTTCAGGTTGTCAGGGACCTGCTTATATATATATACATTCTTGGCAGAGATGATCAGAAGTGGTTTGCCATTGCCTTCTTCTGTGTGTGAGTGGAGTAATTGTTGGGATGCCACGGAGAAACCGGGGAAGCCTCCGGCGGAAAACTCCGTGATGCCTAGACCACGGCCTTGCCCAACACAAGTTATAAATTTGAGCACCACCGGGAATTGAACCCGGGACCCCAGGCTTACAAGGCTAGTGTTCTGACCGCTAGACCACCGTGGCGATCACTGGTATTACTCTTAACTTTTTATGGATACACTAGAGGCCACGTAGTCACTGTAAGAACCGTTACACGTGAACGGTTACAAAACAAGTTATTACGAAGAAAGTGATGTTTAATTTTAAGTGGGAGTCTTCCCTTCAAGTAGCTAGCGAGTATTCGCCATTATCTTAGAGAACTAGTTAATAAATACCAAGATTAAGTAAACCAGGTAATTAAAAGAGGTTATGTGACATTTAGGAACAAATAATTCTGCGTTGTCAGTCGTAGACGAAGATCCCAGCGATCTCTGCAGAAGAGAGCTCATATTCGCGTATCAGATTGGCTGAAACATTTAGGTCATGGAATGTTCCGAAAGCAATGTCCGGAGACAAGGCTTACAGGCAAACCTCATGGTTGTAACAGTCCACACGTGACGTACAGTGGTTTTAAGCATCAATATCGGAGTCTCGAGCTCCCTAAAACTATCCTACCATGAATTCATACGAATTCTGTACAATTAAATGCACTGAGAATTAATAAGATTCAGAGTGTACTCGCCCAGTATTATTAACATGTTGTTTAACAATCACTCTGAATTATTCGTGTTTTTTTCCGTCTAATCACAATTGTATATAAATAAAAGTATACATAAGATATTAAAATTTACCAAATATGTAAATGATATTTTAATATCTTATGTATACTTTTATTTATATACAATTGTGATTAGACGGAAAAAAACACGAATAATTCAGAGTGATTGTTAAACAACATGTTAATAATACTGGGCGAGTACAAATGAAGAGGCTCTTATAACGAAACTTCATCCAGAACTTCACTTCATTCATTCATTCCTCTTAAATCTGAATATTTGCTCAGCACCCTTTTTTCATAACCTTAACTGTAATTTTCCTTTTATGTGAGAGACGAGATTTCACACCCATACATGTAAAATTAAAATTCTTTTTATTTTAATATTTACGTCTTTAGATTATAAATTGAATGATAACTAACGCCCCTCGAATTTCATCTGATATTTGTTTGTGGACGCAATTTTAATTTGATACTGTCGTTCTAAAAATTTTAACTTCGCTAAATTTTCCAAACGTTTCTTACCTACTTTTATACTATAAATGTGTCCTTCCGAAATAATAGCAAGTTTAATTTGAACAAGAATAATCAAATTAAGCATACACTGAAAATAAATGTTACAAATATAATACTGGCAAACCAATCTTTATATTTTATTAAAAAATTATCCATAAACCTACCATTTCAGAATAAAACGTTGGCTGACGCTACGAGAGGTGACCTCCACAAATCACCGAGACAGGTCAAGTGTTTTCAAAGAAACATATTTCCTCTGGGAGCATAATTACTGGGAATATACAAAACGGGATACTCTTTGAAGTAATGGCTACTGTTTGGATGATCAGAGTTCGATTCCCGGTGAAGACAAGGAATTCTTCTTTGCCGCCACGTTCACCTGCAACATCAACACCATCTAGCGCCAAGGTTAAGAACGCGTGGAGCTGTATTTCTACTACCCACATGTCTTTGTGACGTGATTCTTAATTTAAGAAGAGGGACACACATAGCACCTTCTTGTACTAATAATATCGTAGGTTTTTTTGTGAAATGTTGAAACGTGGTGCTGCATCCTGATGGTCTGTGTCAGATTTGCTTCGTTCTTGCATGCAGACGGTATCGGTCTGATGGAAAGGATTAGAAGAACGGGACATTAGTATATTTCATGTTTCGTTTCTTCTCTAAAGAAGAACTTTATGTTATAATCGCCTTTAATTCAATGGTAAAACAAACCACAGAAGTTGTTGATAACATCTTTTACTTCGGTGTGAAAGACTGAAAATGAAGAAACATGTTCTGTGAGGCAATCTACACGCTTGCCTTACGCAACGTGTAAAAAGGTGCAGTTGATTCTATTTAAATTAAACACAGACACTCCCTCGTCAACAATGTCGTTGTGATATACAGTAAAATATTAATATATCATTAACATCCGTTTTTAATCGCCCGGAGGAAGATTACGAGACAGACCTGATCATTCGCCGATAATTATGCCAAGAGGCCTTGAAACTTAGTAACAAAATCATGATATAACAATATGTAATAGTTGAATTCTTACGAGTCGTAAGATCAAATATTTGGAAACTAAAGAATAAATCAAAATTGTATTCGTGAATATATTAAAAGCGCTTGAATTTCGGGAAATGCTTACTATCATAAGATTTAGAATATTTTATCTTCCAATATCCTATCTAAAAATGTATATAGATGAGAATATATAAAACTATAATTTTACATGTTCTTTTAAACGGGTGTGAAGATTTGTGGAGTCCGAGTGCAGAGTACTAAGGAGAACATTCGAGTTTAATATTTTGCATTCTACAATGATTATTATTAGAATGAACAAATCAAGTAACTAGAAATGTATCATGCATGGGAGAGATCAGAAACACATACATATAGTAATGAGGGTTCTTAACCGTACTAGAGAACTATTTTCATTAAAGAAAGAAATTCTGAAACACGTTGAATTTGTACGTGTGCAATATTTGTAAATCCTGGTGGGAAATCTTTCTGGAAAACAACCACTGGTCAGACCAAGAAGGAGGAGGGCGGATAATATCAAGATGGATCTTAGGGAGGATGACAAACGGATAGAATCGGCTCAGGATCGTGTCCGGTGGCAGGTTTTGTGTCATCGGCGTTGGACCTGCAGGTTAGTCATCTTTATTTACATAATTAAAGTAACTCTAATCGCTTCAATTATGGCTGATTTTGACAAAACAGCGTACTACGACGTTCAAATAAATATCACGAGAGGTTCTTACGTGGTGGAGATTAAACTAAGACCACAACAGCTTCAGGCTGAAGCCAGAAACACTTCTAGTATTTTGAAATACGCCAAAACTCCCTGCTTCATAATCCTTTAAATTCTACCACAAGCTTATTTTTAGCATCTCGTCGTATCACTCGGTATTACGTAATCAATGTAGATGATACAGCATCGTTAAGAGACTACATCTACGCGTTATATTCAGTTTTTGAGTGTTAGGAAGACGGAACTGGATCAAGAAGGAACAGTTTAGTAACCAACTTTAGTTTGCTCTTTTGTTGTTTAAAGTCGTCTACTTGAAATATTAGGCGAAAATTGTTCACTTAGGAACAGATCGCTCTTCTCGGCAGCCAGAATTATACCCATGAACTGATGCAATGCATTTAAATAGATTATCTGAGCTATTTTTATGTCTTCTATCGTCCAAATCCGACCTGATCACAGACTATTTTTGTATTT